CATACATGAGCTATCAGGCATGTAGCAGAACAGGGTGTGTCTTGCAGTTTCTTCTGTAAGCTTGAGGTTTTCTTCCTCTGCCTAGGGTTTTAACAGAAACAAGGACCAGAATGCTGGTAAGCAACCATCAATGCAGGGTCTATAGTCTCTTCCCATGTCAGGTTTGACAACAAACTGTTGAACTCATTTCTTTGATTAAACCCATCTGGTTTAATCCAGAATGTGTTCAAAAGTTCCATATCTTCCAGTTTTTCATAGTCCTTAAACATGTCGTCCCAAAGCAATCTAATATAATATTCTTTGCGACTTTAAAAACTTTGAATTAAATTTTTTGGAACATGAATCTTGTTTACAGTAAGCTTATGGTTTTAATTTTTAGCTTTGGGTTCCTTCTTATTTTTCCAGTGAAACTAACTTATTGGTAATACTGGCAGAGAGTCATGTCTTTAGTCGAGCTGATAGCTCAGCATAGTGAGGGAGTGCTCCATGGTTGGAAGAAGCTAGCTATCTATCTTTGATATTTTAAACCAAGTCGACTGCATCTCTTGGGTCAATGTACAAAATCGCATTGCACTGTTGACGAACAATCGTGTTCTCCCTAGTGACCTGGCCAACAATGATCCCTCTACTAACATTGCTGAAATTGGATTATTTGGTTACTCGCTTTATTGCTATTTATGAAACTTTGCTTGTAAATTAGTTCAATTCAACTAAAGTGTTTCAATTGCACTTCATTGACTACCAAGAGCTTTGGGACATAATAAGTATGGATTGTATAAGAGAAAATGAGTGCATTCTTCTGGAAGTCAATACAATTTGGTTACTGTTTTATTTGTCAGGCACTGGTTTTTTCACTTCATGTACACAGGATCTGTTGAATTAATTTGAATCTCTGTAAACAGTTTTGAAGTTTTTGGTTGTTGGCATTGATTCTTATAGAATAAGATGAGATCAGCTAACAAGTTGTGAAGAGGACGTGAGTTTACAAAGGGATATAGATAGATAGATAAGGTGGGCTAAGATGTGACAGATGGAGTATAAAGTGAAATGGTCCATTTTGACAGAAAGAACAAACTTAATATAAAGTTTTTTGCATTGGTTGTGTCCTTGTGCGTGAATCTGTAAAGGCTATTATGAGGGAATCGGGAACACTAATAGAATGCACTTTTAATGCAAAGTGAATTGAATACAAAGCGAGGGAAGTTGCGCTTCATTTAGTCAAAGCAATGCTGAGACCACCTCTGGTCTGCTATGTATAGTATTGATCACTTTCTTTAGCAAAGGATGCAAATTATTTGGAAGTAGTTTGGAAATCTTACCTGGAATAGGTAGGTTACCTGACAGGTTGGGAAGGCTAGGCTTGTATGTGCTGGACTTCAGGAGGCTGAGGGGCAATTTGGTTAAAATGTAAAGATCCTGAGGGGCAAATGTGGAGTAGGTGTTTTCTAGAATCTAGAACTAGGGTTCATAACTTTAAAAATAAAGGATCATCCATTTAAATTACAGGGTGAAATTTCAGGATAGTCTCAATTCTGTCCGAAAAGGGGATGGCAGTGATTTTTTTTTTGCATGTTTTAGACAAAAGAATGGTTTCTTGGTGAAAAAGTAAAATAGGTTATCAGTGTTGGGCAGGTATGTGAATTTATGGTTACATTGAGAAGAAGTCATGACCTAACTAAATGGCAGAGAAGCAAGCTTGACGGTCTGAATAACTTGCTCCTGCATCATACTGCAGCTGGCTTCTTTGCTAGAAAGGGGAGGAGATGAAATTGATTTGGGTTTTCCACTTGCACTTGAGCCTAAAGTTGTGGGGAAAGTATAAAATCAGAGTCAGTTTTTTTAAAAAACTTTCAATCCCCTGCTGAGATCATCATTTACAAAATCATTCACAAGCAATGGAAATTGCGTGGCGCTTTTTATGCGTTATTTTGTGGAAGACTGTTTGTTTTTTTTAATAAGTGAAGCCTTTATTATTGGAAAAACTGCGCAATTGTTGTTATCCTCAGTTGGCCTTGCTACAGTCTGGCTTTAGGTCACTGCCAGATGGACTTGAATTTTGCTTGAGCACAGACCAAGCAGTTGTGTAGGAGCGTTGCATCTTCTGGCTTAACAATCCAAGGTTTTATATCATGAGTAACAAATTCCATAGTACATTCATTGAACATGAGATTTCCTAATGTCTGATGCCACATTGATCCCACTGCAGCCATAACTTTTTCCCCCCATTTTGGTATATTGGTGTATAATAGAAGCAGGTGGAATTTGGATAGTCCTGTGGAGGTTTTTGTTTGAAAAGGTCAAAAGTCAATTTGGAACAGTGATCTAAATACCTATATTCAAATGTGATTGTAGTCAAATGTGTGGGAGAACCCCTATAGTGTAACAGGATAAAATGTTTATCTTGGTCCCCTTTATGATAAGCAGAGTACATCAGCTGTTAATTTATTTGGACATTTGGAGCAGAAAGTTCATTTTTAATTCTTAAGAGCCTGGGATTCAGTTCAGAAAAGGTGTTTTTCTCTTGGAAGAACTTTTTAAGTTTAGGGGAACCTGTCACTTTAGCAGAAGTGGTTTCTGGTTTATCAAATTCTAAGCCAGGAAGGTTTGGATAGAAATTTTCAAGATGTTAGAACTGAAAGCTTAGGCCATCAGCATTAAGGTGGACTGTGGACTCTCAAGGAATTGTAGAAATAGCTCTCGACCATGAAAAAGAATGAAAACATAAATTAATAAAGACTTGCAAAGCTGAAATGGAGTGATTCATTGTTTGGAGTATTTTCTAACAGTAGAGCAGCTTGAAGCTTTTTTGATATGACCTTTTGAGCTGCCTTTATTTGTTTCATTTATTTAATGTATATTTTACTAAAGAATATCTGCATGTTCATGCTGTTTCAGTGACTAATCGATGTTTATCAACTGAGAACTATGATCTGTTGAGCCAGGTATTTCGGGATCTGACTTGTGTAGCATTGCCATCAGCTGCGATCATAGCACTGAAACAATGACTACTATGTTTCAGAAGCATTTGGTTCTGAGATGCGAAGACAAATAGTTCTAAAAGCAAGCTTATTCCTGTTTTACAAACATTTTTCTTTTAGCCTGATTTTATTTTAAAATTAAAAGGCCTTTTTCACAATGCATGTTTTCAGTGTAAATTTTTTTAAATGAAGTATTGTAATTAGATGAGGCTCTGAATTTCTGTAGTGACAGAATGAACTTTGGCAGAGGGCCAGCTGATACGATCAGACAAATAGCCTTCTGTTAAACCTTGATATTCAATAAGCGTAGAACAAATAATACATACTTGTGTTGAGTTCTAGTTTACCTCTGAAAGTTGACTTTCCAATATCTTGGACATTGGTAAATTCCAATTAGAATTTATTAACTTGATTTATTAACTTGAATTCATCTTTAATAGCAAACTTGCTGTGTGGTTGCCTTACCCCTTTCCCTTTTTAGCAAGGAACATAGCCAAAATATTAAGATACTGTTACAAATTTCTACTTGTCAATGTAACAAAGATTTTGCATTTGAGCAGATTTAAAAGTAAGCTATTTATTCTGAGCCAACTTTAGCTATATTTTAAAGAAGCATGAAGTGTTCTGTCCTGTACAAGGATGGGTAAACTGATGCTTCAGAGCTACAAATAACTCTGGTAATTATCAGAAAGGTTCCTTGCAGAATATGACTGAATACTTGAACTTCAATGCAAATTTAGTTTTTGAAAATATTGTAAATGCAGTCAGATTAAAGAAATGTTATGCAGTGTCTTATATAGCCAGAATATTACAAAGTATAACAAATTGCATTTGAAGTTCAGTCACTTCTGTGAAGCCTGAGTTTTGAATAATGTAGTTGGTTCCTGGTGTTCAGTAGATGTGTCCTGTAAATTAAAATCCTTTGAAAATTTTCTGCATTGTTTCCTTCCACTAGCAAACCCTGAACTGGGCAAATTGTTATGCTTGCTCTAGTGACTAGGTATGCAGGAGGAATTTAATACTACATAATTAGCTGCGGTCAGAGCAGCAGTCGTTGAGGTGATTCTGTATCTACTTCCCTATTATTTTTAAAATGGCTGTAAACTGGCTTGTGTCTAACTGCTTCCCTACGTAAGTTTGGACAGGCCAGTTATTGTACTGATGTGCAGCAGTTGCTCAAACAACTAGTGCTTAAGGCCCCAATGCTTATTATTTTGTTAGCACGTGCAGGAACTGCCACTTCTGCGGCTGGTGCTGAATGCCTTTTTGTGACACCCCATGCCTAGTTTTGCAGTGCTATTACTGAGCGATCAGCTGTGTATGGAAAGCAATATATTGCTGTTTGGGGGGTCTTTGTTCAAAAAATGTTGTCTTGTATATGATTGTAGTTGCTTGGTATGTAGTCACTGTTTTGGCTGTACCATGATATTGAAGTCTGAATAATTTCGATACAGAATATAATGAAGATTGTGTAAAAACCTTTTCTACTTCCCCTGAATTTTTAGGTCTCTGTGGTACATTTTGCACTTGTGTTTGTAATCTTGAGCCATCTGTGTTAAACAAATTGTGGGTAAGTCAGATGGTGTATTTTAAGGAACAAAACTAACTTCAAACCTCAATTGTTAATCTGTAAGTTTGAGCTTCCTTATTTAGAGCAAAAGAAACTTATCTTATGCTGTCCCTGCCCAAGGAGTAGGGTCATATTTTTTTTCAGTTGTTCTACAAATTCATTGCGAGCAGTGCGTGTAAATGTTTATTTTGTGCCATTTCTGTCACTTCCCTGTGTGACTTCTGTGGTGGAATGATTTGAAATTGTATTTCTGGTGTGCCTCCTTGAACAAGAAAGAATCTCTTTTTATTCCTTAATCAAGTATTAACTTTGAAGCTAAAGCATACTTTAGCTGAGCTAGATTCAGATTTTTGTTTCTGTCCATAATCTAATTTCTAGAATAAATGAGATGCTCAGTACAGTAGGTCAGGCAAAATTTGGAGAGACTCGGGTCAATGATTTTTAATCATAAGTTAGTAATCTCAGTTGCTTTTCTCCTAGGTACAATACCTAGCCATCATGTCAAGCAAAAGAGCCAAGGGAAAGACCACCAAGAAGCGCCCTCAGCGTGCAACTTCCAATGTATTTGCCATGTTTGATCAGTCACAAATTCAGGAGTTTAAGGAGGCCTTCAACATGATCGATCAGAACCGTGATGGCTTCATTGATAAGGAGGATTTGCATGACATGTTAGCTTCACTTGGTAATAAGATTGTAATATTCATTACCTTTTATATTCATGCTATGGCTATTGTAAATTAAGATATTTAGCAGAGTTTTGAGTCTGTCCTCACTAGCCGTGATACTAGTGATGTTTCAGAAATAGCTGTAAGACAGCAGTTAAAAGTGAGGGAGGAACTCAAAGCTACAAATACCAGGGAAGTAAAACTGAGGGGTGATAAATCTCTGATCCTGGTGGATTTCATCCTGGAGTTATAAAGGCTGTAGCAAGTGAGATGTTTGATGCATTGGTTTTAATTTTCCAAAACTCAATAGATTCAGGGAAAGTTTCTTTAGATTGGAAAAATAGATAATGGAAATCAATTTATTCAAAAGTAAAGGGAGGCAGAATGCTGAAAACTACAGGCCAGTTAGCTTCTGTCATGTGGAAAATGTTGATTTGTATTAAAGAGGGCAGTTTGGATGAGTTCAAGGTAATTAGACAGAGTTAAACTTGATTTCCCTTTGACAAAACCATGTTAACTGATTTATTGGCCTTTTTGAAGTAATTTATATTGTGAAGGGGAACCTACGGAGGATTTTACTTAAATTTCCAGAAGACAATTACCACATCAAGTGTTGCAGAAAAATAACACTGGATAGAAAATTGACTGGCTGCAGGAAGTAGAGAAGGAATAAATGAAAGCAAAATATTGCAGATACTAGACACCTGAAACAAGGGAGGTCTGGGAGTAACAGGTTTAATGTTTTGAGTCTAGTATGATTCCACTGAATAGGAAACTAAAGAATAAATGTATTTTTTTCCCAGACTGGTAGGATGTCATAAGTGGGGTCACCAGGGTTCGTGCTGGGACCTCATCTCTTTACAGTCGTATGTAAGTAGCTTGGGTAAAGGGCCTAAAGGAGGTGCAGCAGCTAAATTTGCTGATCTCACTAAAGTAGGTAGGAAAATGAGTTGTGAAGAAGACATAAGGAGCCCACAAGGGGATGTTAGGTGAGTGGACACAAATCTGGCAAGTGGAATGCAATATGGGAAAGGTGTGAAATTATCCACTTTGGAAGAAAATATGCCTTTTTCTTCTATCTAAATGTGCTTGCAGAGCTGAGATACAGATATCTAGGTGTCCTAGTGCACGAATATGCAGGTACTGCAAGTAATCGGGAAAGCAAATAGAATCTTTAAAATTTAAAGAGGAATTGAATGAAAGTGTGGTGAGGTAGTACATAAGTTTTATACAAGGCTTTCGTGAGACTGCATCTGGAGTACTCTGTACACTACTGGTCACTATTAAAAGAAAGATGTTAATGTATTGAAAGCAATTCTGAGAAAGTTTACTCCACTAATTGCTCAAACGAGTGAATTGCCATGAGGAAAGGCTTGGTAGGCTAGGCCTTTGTCCTCGAGTTCAGAGTCAGAGGTGACTTAATTGAAATGTACAAGATCCCGAAGGGCTTGACTGGGTTGATTTGGAAAGGACGTTTGCTCTTGTGCACGAGTCTAGAACTGAGTCCCCCGTTTAAAATGGATGAGGGTTGAGATTCTTTTGGCATTCCTTTCCTCAAAAGGCAGCAGATGAAGAATCCTTCAGTATTTTTAAGGCAGAAGTATATTCTCTTGATAACCAAGTGGATAAAAGATTATCACAGCTGTACAGGCTCAAATGGCCTGCTTTTGTTAGTGTTCCATCTCCCCTATTCTTTCAAATATTGCAAAGTTGTATTCATTCTACATTGTTACACTGTTCTGATAACGAATTGGGACTGGAAATTGGGAGCATTCTGACCCTTGAATGACTTCCAATGAAGTAATGGATGTTTGCTCAATAGTGTCTATTGGTTGTACAGGAATGCATTACAACTAGGTGAGGTTTGACTGAGATGTCATCCAAATCCAGTACAAGTTGATAGTGAATAAACTAATTTGTGCATTATGTAAGGGCTTTTTCTTCTCTCCTGTGTTTCTTATATATAGTGGTGAACCATTTTGAACATTTAAATTTTCTGCAGGAAAGAACCCAACTGATGATTACCTAGAGGCAATGATGAATGAAGCTCCAGGACCTATCAACTTCACCATGTTCTTGACCATGTTTGGTGAAAAGCTGAATGGGACAGACCCTGAAGATGTAATCAGAAATGCCTTTGCGTGTTTTGATGAAGAAGGAACAGGTAAAGTGCTGTAACTGACTTACCAAGTATAAGAATCATAGGTTTATGCTTTAATGCTATTTGTGATTCTCCCTCAAAGCTTTGGCATCTAGATGTTGGAGTCTAGGTTTTTTGGTATTGATCACTAGGTTTCCAAGATGTTTGGAATGAGTAGGGCTGAAAGTGCTCTATACACATACATGTCTTTCTCCTTTTATGGTAGCTCTGCTTGTTTGTGTATAGTGTTAGAATCAAAATAGGAGAGCACTGTCTTCCTATAATCCCACTGTTTTACTGGTTACAGCATAATGTTAAATGTTTTGCCCAGTTACTGATATGGGCATTTGTGTACTTTATTTTAGGTCTCATCCAGTAAAAAAGAACCTTTCAGGTTTCTTAACATTTGTGTTTACATTTAGTTTTAGAAGTTTGATGTAAAAGTATAAATATTTACACCTCTAACCTCAAAGTAAAGGAAAATGCAAAAACTGATTTACTGCAAAGATTCACTTGGAAAAACCCAAGTGGACAGGTCACTAAGCAGATATGGTTGTCTCTGGGATCTTCCCAGCTGCAGTCAGTCTAGAAATAATAGGACTAATTCCTTTGGGCTTCTTGAGTAACTTAATTTGCATTCAGTGGGGTACTCTGATCACTGAAGGCTTTTTTTAGAAAATACAAAGCTGGGCTGGATAGCTTTCCTTTTGCAGACTGGATGCCCAATTGCAACTACATCAAAACACTGTTTAAACAAGTACTAACACACTAACAGTCGTAAAACCCAGATGAGTGACTTCCAGCAAACATTCAGCAAATGGCTGAAACTTTGTGGTTTCCAAGAAATGTACTATTCTAATCCTAATGTCTAAAGTAAACTTATTTTAAAGAAAAAATATAAAGTCCCAGTACCAACAAACTTTAAATCACTTTTCCATAATCATCATATTTAATTGCAAGAGTGGCATTTTGAAGTCTCCAAAACATTAGATGAATATGTTCTACACATTTCATGGCCTAGGCCCAGTTTAAACGTAACATGTTCTTTCTCAAACCTTTCAGTTAGGCCTCCAGTCTAAGGAAGTTCCCTGGCTGTAATGTGTGCATACTATAGAGCATACATACCTTAGTGCTAGAAAAACAGTGGCCTAGGGCTTCTGTGGTAGCAGTTCTTCTCCCACCATCTTCGTTCCCAAGTCAAAAAGACTAGGCCTAGACGTGTAAAGTTTTTTTTAGATTTTCATAAATCTGTCTTGCTGGACTAATGTACAGGATGACCTTTATTGAACACGTTAATAAACTAAACCAGTAAAACAATCTGCCTTTAATTGGATGGGAAGAGAATGGGAATACAAGAGTGCCTTATTTGTACTTAGTTTATAACTCCCAACGCACTCAACCTTTCAGCTTAAAAGTCTGCTATTGAATGGGCATTTTGCTTTTGGATTTGTTAACCCATTGAATGGGAGGCAGTATAGCTTCATATGCAAACTTACAGCTGTAGTCTGCGTACAAACTTCTGGCAACACTGCTTTGAGCTATTGTTAGGGCAAGCTGTCTTTTGATTGAAATAATCATTTATTTTGGGCTAACCACCTTTGTGTACCTTTATGTTGAATTTGATTTTACTTGTCTTTTGACAATGTGTAATTTCCTAATTTTCACTGTTCATTTGAGATTTTGATGAATTTATTTGACTTTTTTTGTTTCATCAATACATTTGGAGCTGTATTTTTTCCAGGTTATATCCAGGAAGATTACCTGAGAGATCTGTTGACGACAATGGGTGATCGATTTAGTGATGAGGAGGTGGATGAACTTTTCCGTGAAGCACCGATTGATACTAAGGGCAATTTCAACTATATTGAATTTACTCGCATACTGAAACATGGTGCCAAGGACAAAGATGACTAATGGAATGGAAATTCAGGGGGTGGGGGAAAGCTCCTGTTTTACTTTGCAGAACTTATACCTGTTGGAACATACTGCATGCCTTGGCTCTAATAAACGTTGCTTTTTTCATTATTTATATTTTCAGTCATGTTGGCACACTTTGCACACATTTTAAGTAAGTGGAAGTTTAGTGGCAGGGAACAAGAATCTCTAGAAACAGATCACTTGGGTATATGGCTTGTCAGAATTTCTCATTTGTCTGGTTTCAGAAGGTTTTTAAAATTGTCATTTTAATTTGTGATTCATGGGGTGATGGGGAAAATAAACCACTGTTCATTTAATTCTTCTGATCGGTATACCTGGTTTGTCTAAGACAATTATCCTCATTGTTAGTTGAAAGAATATGACCTGTTTAAAAAGTAATCTTGCATTGAAAATCATGATATAGTTGTGATGGCAGTCGTGACATGAAAGTTTGACCTGTCATCTGTTTGTTCAATTTCATTTTCAGTTATGGAGCTACGTTTAAATATATAAATATGATCATTTTAATCAGTGATATTTGGTAGTACTAGTGAATGATAAATAGTATGAAGAGTTGTAAGCTGTAACTTGAGGGATAGTGGAAGACAAGACTTCAGTTTAAGATGCAGATTTTTAATCCAGAGTTTTCCCTGTCTTGTCTGAGGTAAGACCAAAGTGTCCCAAGTGACTATGCAGATTGGTGTAGACATGCTATGCCTTATTCTTGATCATACTTCACACCCTGTTCAGATTTGAGTGTCCTTTGTTATCAAAATTCTGACTTAAATAAAAGTTCTAAATTTGAATTTGTTTTAAATTGTTTCATTTGGTAGTAGCTATTTTGAAGTCCAATGTAGTAAACTGACTCCTAGGAATTGAAACATACCCAACATTTGAAGTGATCACTACAGTGTTTGTGTCCCCTCCCCTCTTTCTGACTCCCAGTTATGTTAATGTATTACCTGGTCAGGTACTACTAAAACAGGCCAGAACAGTCCAAACTTGCTAATTGCTTGGAGCTAGCTTGTTTTCAGCCAGGAAGCGGTGAAGCACAAAATTGGTTTTAATGCACAGACTTGAATGAAGACAGTTAAGGTTCCTGCTGTTGATTTTGTTATCTAGTGTCCTTTGCTGAAAGCTGTCTGATGGGGAAAGCCTGAACTTGGCTGAGAAGGAGTTGCAAACATTAGGTTTGTCTGCTCTATGGTCCATTGTGTTTCTGGTTAAATGTTGCTCGGGATACAAACAGTATCCTAGGAACTCGAGATCAATCGGTGAAAATGTTCTAAGTTTTACAATCTCCAAACCTCACAAAAATACAATCTTGATTCCAGCAATGGAAATATTTTCTACTAGATACAGAATGTGAACTGTATAGGTGTTTGTACTCACCAGTTGTTCTGGGAAAATTTGGATAAAAGACCTATCACTTTCTTTTTGCAACTACTTTTAAAAATAACAAGTGTTTACAACCATTGTGTCCATGATAGTGGAATATTTAATTTCCTGAATGCATTTCAAAGGCGGTTACCAGCTATCAATCCTGATTTGCAGTATGAGGAATGAAATTATGTACTTAAAGCAATCAGTAACCTCTGTTCTTCTAGCCAAAGTTATACTTGATGTCTGTCTTAGCTTCCTTTTGGCTGCATCCTACTGAGAGCTAAGCAATACTGGTTCCTGTATAGCATGAGTGGGTAAATACTGTGGCAACTATGATGAGAGACTGAACCTGGGATTCCTGGTTAGTCATTCTGTGTGAAGACATCAGCCATGCAACAGTAGAATTGAGCTTGCTTTCAGCAGGGGAGTGCATATTAAAGGTTTTGAAATACTTATTGGCAGTCAGTGCTTTTTGGAAGGTATGAACTAAGAGTTTAAAAAGGCCTGCAATACTTTTGGAAAGAAATTTAGAATTTTCTAACAATTAACTACTTGAAGTTTAAGAAATATTTGATATGACTATATAAATCAGAAGTCAGGGCTTCTGATCTTGCATTCATAAGCAGTTAATGTGCTAAATATTTTGATATAATTCTAGGATAATATCAACTTGCCTCTAAATGTGAATTAATATTGACTTAAAGTAGACTGTCATAAAATTGCTGTAACTTTTTAATTTGATCATAGGTGGAAAGGTTTTATAAGGTAAGACCCACCACCCTTAACCCAGAATAAGGCTTGCCATCCAGATATTTTGCAGCTGGCAATGGATTGTATATTCTGACAATATGGCTACTTTTCTGCTTTGAACTGAATGCAGTTTCATGGCAGCCTTCCAACATTTATCTAGCTGACCATTTTTGGCATAAGCCAAAGTTTTCTGATCAATGTTGGTCATGCCTCCTTCAACTGAAAAATCTAGCCTAGTGCATGTTAATCATTTATTGGAGTAGCAGTAGAGAACGTGTGATGCTGCCCAATTTTGCCCTTTAATGAATTATAGGAGAGAAGCTGGAAGCTTGAGTATCTTAAACAAATCTTGTTCACCTGCTTGATCTTAGGCTTGGACATTAGAAACAATCACTGATAATGGTACAAAACAGTGATCTTTTATATTGGAACACATTTTTAGTGGTGTAGTGTATCATCTCTTCAGTGTAATCATTAGCTTTGATATTTGATCTAAAAGTATCTGCCAAACATAGCTCCAAGGATCCTCTAAATTAAAAATACCTAGACAAGTATTCTCGTTCTAATTTTTGCCCCTAGATCTGACTGGCCAGCATGAACTATGATATAGCAGCACTCTGTCTTCCTCTGGCCATTCCTACGCTCAGAGCTTTTCCCTTTGTCTCATCTGTTGAGTTCCTTAAAACCTTCCTCTTTGAATCAGTTACACAAGCTCTCATGTGGTTTGATGTCCTATTTTTTTTGTAAAGCTGCTGAAGACCTTTTAGTACAGTGAAGGCACGTGCAAGTTTTTGAACCTAAAATGTTATCCCAGTTAGCTGTTTGATCTGGTGAATCACAGATATTCTCAATCCTGTATGTACTTGACCTCAGTTCCAACATTTGCAACAGTATGTACGCTGTGAACATGCTCACCACATTTTAGAACCTGGATCTGCACTTGAAGCACTGACCTGCAAGGCTACACACTAGTATGAATGGCCACTTGTGTTATAACCTTCCTAAGGTTCACTGCTTGCAAAGCACATTTTGATGTTGCAAAAGGTACTTCATTTTCCAATAGCATTTGAAAATGAGAACACTTAGTCCGCTTATCTTAACAAAGCTAAGTGTTGAGGTCAGTTGGGGGCTGTTGCTGCTCTGGCTGAGTGTCTTGAACTCTGAATATGGCATAGCAAAGTCAATATTTCGATGTGGGGATGAAACGATTGAGCTAATCAGTGTGGCTTGGATTTACATTGGCAATGGCCAAAAACTTTTGGTGTTTTACTATTGCTGCACTTGGTCAATTTCAATGAAGAATATGTGTAGAAATTACTTCAATTTTGCTGCATTTCTTTGAGCACCCCAGTCTAGCCATCATAATTGAGAAAAATTAATGGAATTGACTGAACTTCTGCTTCTACACAGGTTGCATTATTTAAAAACACTTTTATGACAGATACATCTACTTGCTAAAGTAAACTTCATAGCAGCTTCAAATTGCTGCTAAACATCTACCTTAACTTTATTTGTGGAAAGTCAAATTTCTGTCAATCAGACTTTAACATTCTACGGTAATCCAATCACTTATGTGAAAATGTAATCATTCACTTAAATGCTTTTTCATGGTTTGCTGTTGTGAATGTTTGAATATGATTTACCCCTTGATGCCAAGATTAAATAGAAAGCAACTTCAAAATGAGCTGGGTTAAAGCATTGCTGAAGTGTTTAAAGTTTTCACTTGTATTTTGATAGTTATAGCTCAATCTTTTCTAGATTAAGTCAAGGAAGCAAATATCACCCATACAATAAGCTCTTAATGCAGACTGATTACACTTCAGCACCATTCGCATATCCTAGTCTGGACTTCGACAGCAGTCAAACTAGGGTCCTCACTGATGGCCTTGAAGAAAGCTGCCCGTAGATGGAATCAAAGGATCAGAGACTTTTGTTCCTTTGAAATGTGTATTATTCACTTGTGTAGCTGTAGTTCTGGCACTAAATGGCCTCCCAAAAAGTAGTTAATTGATTTAACAGTAGAAACAGTACTGGAAATGTGTTGAATCAGCAATTTAGACAGTAAATTTGGGGGAGAACTGAAGCTAAAAGCAACAGAGTTACAGTGCTGCTGTATTTAAAAGCATCAACCAGACAAAAAACATGTAGCAAAGCAGATGACAAAATAGACAACAAACAAATGATTTCTTATCACAACTGACAAAGGGAAAAGCAGCAGAACCTGAGGTATTTTTAGTTTGTTTTCAATCTTACATGTTTAGCATTTTAAGCAATTGATTAACTTGCTCGAGTCAAGTTGAGTTGATGTGAGAGCATCAGGAAGAGGCTTTTAAAGTGATACCAACGCCAGGAAAAGACTGAGGTTGGATCAGAGGCCTGTACTTGTAAACCGCTGCTTGGTAGTACAGAATTTGAATATTGCTGGTAATGGCCAAAGGGTTTTGTCTTGAACTCTGAACATGATGCAAGAATGATCATTTTGAAGCTTGACCATTTTTATGCTCCAGAAGAAAATGGTGCTGGTTCGTTGGTTGGTAAGTCAACTTGCAGGAGTTGCCATTGGAGCACTCCAGTGGATGCAAGCCTAACTTAGCCTAGCCTGTTGTTACCCCTATGCTTTCCTCCCCCTCACTGTGTGCTTGAATGGCAATGTTAGATTAATTTAGATATTACAGTTGTGTACTGAAGTACAGGAGTACAGGAAAAAGTGTCTAATGTTGCCACACAGCGCCATCATAGGTACAAAGATACCTAGGTTTTTAAAAAAAAAAAGTCTGGTACAAAGTAGTAAAAGAAACAGTCAAAGTGTTAAGCATTACATTAGCATAGAATAAGTATAAAAATAAGGAAATAAATAATTGTTCTCAATATAAACTAGAAAAATAAAGGGATAAAGTTAAAAGTTCAACAGTCTTTGAGTAGTACTGGGGCCCCAATCTGCTCCACTTAGCTCAGTCGCCAGGGGATCTCAGCTG